GCTGGAAGCTGCAGGAGTTTGTTCTTGTGCTCGAAGTCCTGCTTGCGGGTTTCCTACAGGCATCCCGTTAGGCAATGGGAGAGGAGTGTACTGTGCTAGATGGGCTACTGGCCGGGTCCTTAATACCCCTCCTCGGAGGGATGCGAGTGGGTTTGGGTCTTGGAGCCCCGCACCGAGGTTTGCCACCTTCGTTCCTGCAAAAAGCGGGGCGGTTGGGGGACGGTTTTTGGTGCTGAAGTGACTTCAAAGCGACCCATGACGATTTATTGCAGCCTAAAAGGAGGTCCTCTCTGAATTGTGTCACGCGCGCACGCGCACACACACACATACGCATGAATTTGTAAATCTGTCTGCCCTTGGCTACCCAGAGCTTAAATGCATGACCTTTCACACACCTTTTCAAACACATGCATTTGGAGAGGACCCCTAATTTGGCGTGGGGAGTGGGGGGGGGGAGAGAAAGGCCTGAAATACAAGGCAAAACTGTATTAATACAGGATGCAGCATTTAAATACAGTGGTAGCCTCTGGTTGCAAACAGGATCCATTCCAGAGGCCCATTCACAACATGAAAAGCCCGCAACCTGAGCGCCATATCTGCGCAGGTGCACAGCATGATTTGGCGCTTTTGCGCATGCGTGAGCAGTGAAACCCGGAAGTAACCCTTTCTGGTACTTATGGGTCGCCGCGGGACACAGCCTGAAAAAAAGTATCGTGAAGCAAACGTAACATGAGGTATGACTGTATGGGACAAGCCTGTATTGTACAGGACAGATGGCAACCCTACACACCCCAAGAAGAGCCAAGGTGACCCAGAGAGGGGGCAGCTGTGAAACAGGCCCCCCATCAGCAGATAGGTTGACAGTAAGGCAAGGCAGGGCCTGGTGGGGTAAATGGTAGTCACTAACATTCAGTCAATCAATCAATCAATCAATCAATCAAAACCTATATACTAGGGCTCATCGCAGATGACCTGATGTTCACAACACCACACCCCATAATGAATGGGGGAGGGGAATGCTGAAAATAACTTTTCCTAAGAAACCAGAAGCTTTTCTTTTAGGTATTATGGGACCAGAGATCCCGAAGGACCAGATGAAACTATTTATGCATGTGACCACTGCTTCACCGGCTCTCTTAGCCCAGAAATGGAAAGATGGTACAACTCTGACCAAAGAAGAATGGCAGGCAAAACTGTTGAACTATTCAGAGATGGCATAAGAAGAATCAGAAAACAAGAAGAGGAGGTCTTTAATAAAGATTGTTTTTAATTTTATAATTAGAAAGTTTATAATTTATTGGAAAAACTATAGTAAACAGATACATACCGTACATTGGTAGGATTGACAGAAAACCTGTAGTAAAAATCTGAACAGGATTGAAAAGGATTTATAAGAATAGAATTATGAAAGAGATGCAGAGGGGGAAAACATTATATTAAGATCCACAAGGGTGGGGGAGGGAAGTCAAAGGGGATTATATATTTATGTTTTTATTTTTATTTTTATAATAATTTTTATTGATTTGCATATTAAAAATAAAGAACATCAAAGTTACAGTCTCATATTCACAGATTGTTTGATACGACTTCCTTCAACCTTTCCACAAATCATCCATAATATCCTTATAAGTATTCGCATTTTTTTTGTTTGTATTGTCGATAACCATCCTAGTTCTACTCTTTCTCTTTGACAGTACCCTTTTTCCTTTTTACAGAGCTCCTTTAAAACCCACTAATGTTATTTGTCCTTCACTCAGATTTTCCAGATAATTCGTAAAGTTTTCCCACTCCTCGATGAACCTCTGATCTTTGGAGTATCTGATTTTCCCTGTCATCTTATCCATCTCCGCATATTCTAACAGTTTTGCTCTCCATTCTTCAATTGTCGGCATATTCTCAGATTTCCAATTTTGAGCTATTAGGATTCTTCCAGCCGATGTTGCATACTGGAAGAACCTATGATCTTTCTTTTTTATCTCCCTCCCTACCAATCCCAACAGAAACGCCTCAGGTTTTTTAACAAAAGTATATCTTAGAATTTTTTTCAATTCGTTATACACCCCCTCCCAGAACTCTTTAACCTTTTGACACTCCCACCACATGTGAAAGAAGGACCCCTCCCTTTCTCTACACTTCCAACATTTATTACAGGTCCCATACATTTTGGCTAATTTTACAGGAGTTAGGTACCAACGGTAAAACATTTTCATTAAATTCTCCTTTAGTGACACACATGCTGTAAACTTAAGGTGTGTTTTCCAAAGCTTCTCCCATTCTTCGGCATATATATTGTGGCCGATATCTCTCGCCCAATGTATCGCAACCGACTTTACTTCTTCATCTATTAGGTTCCAGCCCAATAGCTGGTTATACATTTTAGACAGAATTCTATGGTTGTTATTCAATATTTCAATCTGAAATCTGGACTCTTTGTCAATGTAGCCTTTATCTGTAGAATCTTTCCTGAACATTCCATTTAGCTGAAAATAATACAGCCAGTCGTATACTTTCTCCTTAATCTGATCATACGGCTTTAATTTCCACTTTCCTTCTTCTTTTGTTAGGAGTTGCTCGTATGTAGGCCAGTTATCTCCCATGTTTATCTTTTTAACGCTCATCACTTCTAGCGGCGATAGCCAATGGGGTGTTTTAGGTTCTAACAGATCTTTATTCCTCTCCCACACCTCAATCAGTGAACCTCTAAAAATATGGTTTTCAAATCCCCTGTGAGCTTTCCTTTTCCCATGCCATAGATAGGCGTGCCACCCAAATCTGTTATTGAATCCCTCTAAATCCAGTACCTCCTTATCTTCTAGTTTTATCCAAGTTTTAACCCAGCATAGGCAAGATGCCTCGTAGTATAGTTTCAGATCAGGTAAGGCAAAGCCCCCCCTTTCCTTCACATCTGTCAACAATTTAAATTGAATCCTTGGCTTCTTGCCCTGCCAGATAAATTTCGAAATCACTTTCTGCCATTCTTTGAATATCTTTAAACCCCTAATTACAGGAATGTTCTGGAAGAGAAACAACATTTTGGGTAGCACACTCATCTTAATTGTGGCTATTCTGCCCCAGAATGACATTTTTAGCCTGCCCCACGTTTCTATATCTTTCTTAACTCCTTTCCACGCTGTCTCATAGTTATTTTTAAATAGGTCCATATTTTTTGATGTTACCCATATCCCCAAATACTTAACTTTCCTGGCCACCTCTATCTCTGTTGCATTTTGTAATTCTTCAACTTTATCTGTCTCCATATTCTTTACAATGATTTTTGTTTTCTTTTTATTTACTTTAAAGCCGGCTACTTTCCCAAATTGATCGAATTCTTCAAGTACCTCCTTTGTTGAATTTATTGGGTCCTCCATTGTAATGACCAGATCATCCGCGAACGCCTTCGTTTTATATTCATTCTGCCCAACTGATATCCCTTTTATCCCTCTGTTTCCTCTTATTGAATTTAATAGAACTTCTAACACCATAATGAATAACAGTGGGGACAGCGGGCATCCTTGCCTTGTTCCTTTTGCTATTCTCATTTCTGAGGTCTCCACACCGTTTATTATCAGTTTTGCTTTCTGTTCCGTATAGATTGCCTTCACCCCATTGTAAAACTTAGTACCAACCTCCATGAATTCCAGTTGTTTCAGCATGAAGTCCCAAATTAAGTTGTCGAATGCTTTCTCAGCATCCACAAACAACAACATGGCTTGTTTGTCACATCTGTCTGATAGGTATTCTATAATGTTTACTACATTCCTTATGTTATCCTTCATATACCTACCCGGCAAAAAGCCGGCTTGGTCTTTGTGTATGCTTTTTATCAATATCTTTTTCAGTCTCCTTGCTAGAATTCCCGCAAAGATCTTATAATCCAAATTCAATAAGGAGATCGGTCTGTAGTTTTTTACCTGTTGTAAATCTGAGTCCTGTTTGGGTATTAGAGTAATTAGCGCCTCCTTCCATGTCTCTGGAAGTTCTCTTTCTTTAAGAATATTATTCATCACTTCTTGCAATGGAATCAACAAAATTGTCTCCATTTCTTTATAGTAACTACCGGTAAACCCGTCTGGGCCTGGCGCTTTCCCTTTTTTTAAATCCTTTATTATTTCTTTAATTTCGTCAGTCTCTATTAAGGCATTCAAGCTTTCTTTCTCCAGTAACGGAATCTTTTGAATATTCTTCCCTTTTAAATATTTTTCTATTTTCCTCAGATTGTTCTTTTCGCTATTTTTGTAGAGTCCTCTGTAAAAGTCCAGAAAGGCCTTTCTTATTTCTTTGGGGTTACTTTTCACCTCTCCCTCCACCTCAATCTTGTTTATTGTATTCAGTTCCTTCCTTTTTTTTAGTTGCCAGGCTAGTAATTTTCCTGATTTATTGGCGTGTTCGAAACTTTTTTGTCTTAATTTTTTTATCTTCCATTCTATTTCTCTGTTTATCAGCATTGCCAGTTGCGACTGTAGGATCTTAATGTTTTCTTTTATCCTCCTGTTTTTCGGGTTTTCAACTAGTTTTTGTTCATTCTCCATTATTTGCTGTAAGATTTCTCTTTTCCCCTTTTCTCTTTTTTTATTCTTAATTGCACTCTGTTGGATGAAAAATCCCCTCATCACCGCCTTGCCTGCATCCCACACCACCTTCGGTTTAGTACCTTTGCCCAAATTGTCCTCAAAATATTCTTTTAACTTTCCCTGTGCTTTCTCTATAATCTCTGAGTCGTCTAGCAGGTAGTCTTTCAATTTCCATCTATATGGTCTTTCCTCCAGTCCTTTCAGTTCCAATTTTACTGCGTTATGGTCCGAGATCGTTTTAGGGAGAATCTCGGCCCTGATAGCTCTTGGTACTAATTCTGCCGATATCCATATTTGATCTAATCTCGAAAATGAGTCGTTTGGTTCCGAATGGAAGGTGAACTGTTTTTCTAGAGGATATTTAAATCTCCATATGTCCACCAAATTGAAGTTGTGGACCAGTGAGAAAAAGGCTTGGGGTAGCTTTCCTTCCCTACTCACTCCTTCTCTTAACCTGTCGATGTCTAGCGACACCACGCCATTCATATCCCCTAGTAATATTATTTTCTGGTCCGCATATTCACTTAATTTCCCCTCTAACATTCTGTAGAACTCTGCTTTATTATTATTTGGTGCATATATCCCCACTATTAATACATTTTCTCCTTGCCATTTAATTTGAACTGCCACTATCCTCCCTTCTTCATCTTTAAAAATTTGTTGTGCTTCCAGTTGTTTTCTTATGTATATGACCACCCCCCTTTTCTTCCTTTTATCTGCCGATACGAATTCGTTACCCAATCTTTTATTTGTCAAGACTCTTTTATGTTTCCTTGCTATGTGGGTCTCCTGTAGGCATATAATATCCAAACTTTCTTTATTTAAAATATATTCAATTTTGTTTCTCTTTTTCTTATCATTCATTCCATTGATGTTCCAACTCCAGATTTTTAACACCATAGTGTTTGCCTAATGGAAGTCTACCAGCTCTCTCTATATTTTACCTTCGCCTCTCTCTTCCTCCTCCTCCTCCTCTCCCTCTGACCTCTCTATTCCTTCTTCTGAGTCTTCCTTTCTTTCTGTCTCCTCACTCATGTCATCCTCTCTATGTACTTTCAATTCTTTGTATTTCCTTAAGAATTTACTAGTTTCTTCTGGACTCGTAAGTTTTTGTCTCTTACTCCTGTAAGTAAAGGAGATTCCTTCGGGGAACTCCCATTTGAATTCAATATTATTCCTCTTCAAAGTCTGTACCAGTTCCTTATATGATTCTCTACGTTTAAGCAGCCTGACTGGGATGTCTTTAAAGATTATAATGTAGTTACCGCCAATATTCAGCCTTTTTTCCTTGTTTTTTTGGAGGATCATATTCCTCATTTCCCTTTCTTTAAATATGACTAAACAGTCTCCTACCAATCTTTTATTTCTGGCTGATTTGGCTTTCATTCTAAAAGCAGATTGTACTGCATTCTCCATCTCTTCTGTTGAGATCTCCAGCCATGAGGCTAATTCTGTTATTAATTTCACTTTTATATTCTCTCCTTGTACTTCTGGCACAGCTCTAAATCTTAGATTAACCTCCTTCTGTCTTAGTTCATTCATAGCAATTAAATCTTTCATTTCCTCTTGGTTCTTATTCAAATCTAGGATCTCTGCTTTTATCTTGTCCTCCTCCCGTCTCACATCTTTCACTTCTAACCTTGTCTTTTTCAAGCCCTCTTCCACCGCTTGCGTCCTCCTAAATACCTCTTTCAGTTGACCTTTCAGTTCATTAACTGTTTCATCTATCTTTTTTTCCATCTTCCCAATTCTGTTGTCTACTTGTTCTAGTTTAAGCTCAAGATTTTTCTCACTTTGTCTAATCTCCGCAAACATCTTTAGAATGTCTGCTTTGAAGTCAATTTCTTGTTTCGATCCTTTCCTATCCCCTGGAGTTCCCCCTTCTGGTCTTTTCCCAGTATTTGACATTGTGGGATCCTAAGCAACGCCACTTATATAGTAAATATCAGATACCTATACACAATAAATATACGTTACTGGATACACCAGAGATACAATAAGACCAAGAGCTTAGTTTCTGGTAACCGTTATGACCATTAGACCATGTCCATTTGGCTTTTATGACCTCCACCTGATATATTCAAAGTATCCCTTAGTTGTTCTAGAAGGTCAGCTCAGTATTCTTTGTAATATCCCCCCCCTTTTTTTTAAGGGGGGGAGGACAAGTCCTTAACTTTCAATACCCTCTAGTGAGTAATGGGGAGGGTGGTCTTAGAGGCAATTTTATGAATTATAGTTGTGTAAGAGAGCTCCTACCTTGTTAAACCTTGAAAGTTACGTTTTGGGAAGAAAGTATACAAAGAGAAAACATGAAGTGGAAACAAGAAGAAGATCTAAATTTAAAATTATAGTCAGTCCACCAGGTGGTTCCCTCTAATGTTGCTCTGCTGCTCTGTATCCCAATCAGTCTGTCCTCAAAGGCAGCCTAAGTGGCAACCTGTGTCTGTCTGCAGCAGAGAGGGTCTTTTTTTTTTTCCGCTCAATAAGTAGCCATCCCAAACAGAAATTGGGGACACCGCCCCAGCTAAAGCTTGAATGTCCACAAAATCAGTCAAAATTGCGCTGCAATGTTCGGAGGTTCATGCAAAGGCGGTTGGGAGTATTTTGCGCTTTTGCGCATGCGTGAGCAGTGAAACCCGGAAGTAACCCTTTCTGGTACTTATGGGTCGCCGCGGGACACAGCCTGAAAAAAAGTATCGTGAAGCAAACGTAACATGAGGTATGACTGTATGGGACAAGCCTGTATTGTACAGGACAGATGGCAACCCTACACACCCCAAGAAGAGCCAAGGTGACCCAGAGAGGGGGCAGCTGTGAAACAGGCCCCCCATCAGCAGATAGGTTGACAGTAAGGCAAGGCAGGGCCTGGTGGGGTAAATGGTAGTCACTAACATTCAGTCAATCAATCAATCAATCAATCAATCAAAACCTATATACTAGGGCTCATCGCAGATGACCTGATGTTCACAACACCACACCCCATAATGAATGGGGGAGGGGAATGCTGAAAATAACTTTTCCTAAGAAACCAGAAGCTTTTCTTTTAGGTATTATGGGACCAGAGATCCCGAAGGACCAGATGAAACTATTTATGCATGTGACCACTGCTTCACCGGCTCTCTTAGCCCAGAAATGGAAAGATGGTACAACTCTGACCAAAGAAGAATGGCAGGCAAAACTGTTGAACTATTCAGAGATGGCATAAGAAGAATCAGAAAACAAGAAGAGGAGGTCTTTAATAAAGATTGTTTTTAATTTTATAATTAGAAAGTTTATAATTTATTGGAAAAACTATAGTAAACAGATACATACCGTACATTGGTAGGATTGACAGAAAACCTGTAGTAAAAATCTGAACAGGATTGAAAAGGATTTATAAGAATAGAATTATGAAAGAGATGCAGAGGGGGAAAACATTATATTAAGATCCACAAGGGTGGGGGAGGGAAGTCAAAGGGGATTATATATTTATGTTTTTAACTCATTTATGTAAAATAGAAAATGAAAAAAATAAAATTTATTAAAATAGCAAACACCAGACCCCATAAACACAGCGACCACCCTAACTAAAGAACTCAACATATTCACATTGTTGTCGGGCCTACAAGTAAACTTTGCAAAATCTGAGGCTATCTGCTTCAAAACACACACACATACATGTCTTGCATACCCAAAAGGAATTCACCAACATCACAAAGATAAAACTCTTCTTCACTAAATTCAGATATCTAGGCGGAGTTAGAACAAAACATTGAGATTGAAGTCCATAAAAAGGTTAAGTATTTAGGGATTTGGTTAACATCAAGAAATATAAACCTGTTTAAAAATAACCATGAAAAAATTGGCTCGAGGTAAAAAGAAATCTAGAAATTTGGAGCAGAATGAATCTCTCACTGTTAGGCAAAATATCAGTGATTAAAATGAATGTGTTGCCAAAAATGCTATTTCTTTTTCAATCAATACCAGTCATCCTGAAAGATGAATGTTTTAAAAAATGGCAAAAACAGATCTCAAAATTTATCGGGGGGGGGGGGGGAGCAAAAGGCCAAAGATAAAACATAAAATACTTACAGATATAAAAGATAGAGTTGGATTTGCCCAGACCTTAAATTGTATTACAAATCTGCTTGTCTGGTATGGGTCAGGGACTAGATGAGGTTGGATAACCAAGAGGCATTAGAATTAGAAGGACACGACAATAGATTTGGCTGGCACGCATATCTATGGAATGGGGAAGGAAAGGTCCACAGAAGTTTTTATAACCATATAATTAGGAAATCATTAATGAGAGTATGGGAGAGATATAAAGATTTATTGGAACAAAAGACCCCTTGGTGGCTTTCACCATATGAAGCATTACTGCTCAAACCACTCTGAAAGAAAGGAAAATGGCTCACATATGTCAATCTATTAAGGGATCATGATGGAAAATGGAAATGAAGAGATTACGATGAGATCAAAGATCATTTTCAGAGTTGGTTGCACTATTGACAAGTACAGTGGTACCTCGGGTTAAGTACTTAATTCGTTCCGGAGGTCTGTTCTTAACCTGAAACTGTTCTTAATCTGAAGCACCACTTTAGCTAATGGGGCCTCTTGCTGCCGCCGGAGCACGATTTCTGTTCTCATCCTCAAGCAAAGTTCTTAACCCAAGGTACTATTTCTGGAGTCTGTAACCTGAAGCATATGTAACCTGAAGTGTATGTAACCCGAGGTACCACTGTGTATGAAACATATAAAGAAGACAGTAAGAAAGTATTTAGCTATACAAGATCTAGGTTCCAAACGGAAGTGATTGAAGGGAAAGTGAAATTATTGAAGGCGGTATACAGCATACTATTAGAATGGGAGATGAAAGATGAAGAGGTAAAATCAGTCATGATTAAATGGGCACAAGATGTAAGCCATAATATTATGATGGAAGATTGGGAAAAGTTATGGAAAACTGATCTAAAATTTACAGACTGTTCCCTGTTGAAGGAGAATTATATGAGGAGGATGTATAGATGATATATGACACCAGTGCAGTTAGGGAAAATGTACAAAACTAGTTCAAATATATGTTGGAAGTGTAAGGAAAAGGAGGGGACATTTTATCATATGTGGTGAGATTGTAATGTAATTAAATTTGGGGGGGTGGGAATGATATACAATGAATTGAAGAAAATGTTCCACTTAACATTTGTTAAAAGACCTGAAGCATTTTTGTTAGGGATTGTAGGAAAAGATCTGCCAAAAAAGTTGAAAAACATCTTCATGTATGCGACAACGGCCGCAAGAGTCTTAATAGCACAAGGATGGAAGTCTGAAGAAATTCCAACCAAGGAATCATGGCAAGAGAAACTGATGGATTATGCAGAAGTGGCAAAATTGACACATAAGCTACGGGAGAAGGATAACTGTGACTTCAGAGATGAATAGGAACCCTTTACAAAGTATTTGAAGACGCAACAAAGTGAATTGGACTCCTTGGCAGGTTTTGAATAAACATTTACAAACTATTGATAAGAATCAGTTAGATAATTTAAGGATATATACAACTTTGTAACATGCAGAGAATAGCATTCACAGATACTATAAACCAAAGATTGGAACTGAGGGAAGTCAGGTGGGGTGGGGGTGGGTCTTGTATGGGAGAGTGGGGGGAGGGAGGAAAGTGGTTAAAAAACTAAGAATGGCATGCTTTTGGATAATATGTTTTGTTAAAATTTCTAATAAAAATTATATATAAAAAATCAGGTACCTAGGGGTTCAAATAACCAGAAACCTCAGCAAATGATACCTCCGCAATTACGAGCCCCTGTGGCAACAAATGAAGAGAGACTTGAGGAAATGGAACAACACCAACTTCACTCTCAGACAAAATAGCCATGATCAAAATAAAAAATGGAAATAGGAAAGGTGCTGGAAGGAGTGTAATGGGAACTAACTGGCTGAGAGAGAAAATCAATGTCTGTTGAGAGAATATTATCAAGCATCATAGAGCCAACTCCTAAGGGCTAAGGGGTCCACCCCCCAACAATAAAATATTTGAGGAATCTGGGCCACCTCAAAGTTGAAGGGCATTGCTATTCTAATGGTGTGTGTACACTGTGACCTCTGATTATGAGGAGAGGAGCTTACCTGGGCCCCCCGTCAAGCATATTGGGTTGTGTATAAGTCACTGAGTGGGCTGCAGAGAGAAAGGTGAAGACCCAGATTTTCCATTATGAATTGATGCAGCTTTCGTTTGGTCTGTGGTGAAGGGGTTTACAAAAAGGATTTCATTATCACTATGAAATTAAAAACCATTTCTTTGACAGGTCCTGATTTGTCAAGAAACCAAAAGGCCGGGCAGGAAAAGCAGCCTAGAACAGTGGTTCCCAAACTTTTGGGGCACTCCCCCCTTAGTTCCGTAAACCCACCCACAGTACCCTCTACTCTATAAAAAGAATTATTCAGAGTAGCAGAATTGCATGCTTATTCAAAATCAAAATAAAACTATTTAGTTTAAGTCAACAAAACTGGTAAACTTCAACCAGTGATACCAGGATTTCAAGGTCTGATAATCATTTGCACCTCCAACAACTCCCAACTGCCCCAACATCCCTCCACTGTCCCTGCCACCCCCTTGTCTCTTAGCACCCCGTAGGTAATCATACTGCACCCAGGGCAGTACCACCCACTTTGGGAATCACTGGTCTAAAAAGAAACTCACGTGTCTTTAGTAAGGGTTTATTTTAGGGTCATATTTCAAAAAGTCAGTGCTTTTTTCTGGGGGGGCGCAGGGCTACGTATACCCCTAAACATTTTGTGAATCTTTGTACTTTTGTCCATTTACTGTATTTCTTTTTGCCATTTTGAACTATAAAATTGTGATTTTATTGAGTCAAAATGAGAGTACCCCTAAAAATGTTTTTAGAAAAAAAGCACTGCAAAAAGTGAAAATCCGGACACAAAAGTTGTTGCTGCCAAAGTTGTTCGAGGTTTGGTTTGTTTGTTTAGTTTTGCCCAAAATTTGAGTTTTTGCGCTATTTTTAAGGAAATTCCCCAAAATCTAGACTTCTGACATGGGATGCCATATGTCTGGATTTTCCCAGACATTCAAGCGATTTCTGCCCGGACACTGTTTCCGTGTGCTGCGCTGGTGCTGGCTCGCCAGAGCAGCTTCGTCACGCTGGCCACGTGACCCGGAAGTGTCCTCAGACAGCGCTGGCCCCTGGCCTCTTAAGCGAGATGGGCACGCAACCCCAGAGTCGGACATGACTGGCCTGTACGGGCAGGGGTACCTTTACTGTTTTCAACTACTATATTCCGGCTATGTCCAGGAAATTTCAGACGTATGGCGACCCTATTTTTTTCATGGTGCCACTGCCATAAGTTGCTTGAAGATGCATTAATATTTAATTTCTGTGAGGGAGCTGTAGTCATGGTTTCCTATATTCATTGCTAAACAGGCACATTCTGGAAGGTGGATGTTCTGTTTTTTGAAGCACTTATTGACAGCCAATGTCTGTGCCTGCCCATTCTTTACCTGGCCAATGTTGATCAGTGGGAGCAACACATAAATAAAGCTGTCATCTCATCCCGATCATTTTTTAAATTCAGATGCTTAAATTTTGAGGTATAGAAACATAACAAGGTGCAATCATATGCAGTGGTACCTCGTGTTACATACGCTTCAGGTTACAGACTCTGCTAATGCAGAAATAGTGCTTCAAGTTAAGAACTTTGCTTCAGGATGAGAACAGAAATCGTGCTCCGACGGCGCGGCAGCAGCAGGAGGCCCCATTAGCTAAAGTGGTGCTTCAGGTTAAGAACAGTTTCAGGTTAAGTACGGACCTCCGGAACGAATTAAGTACTTAACCCGAGGTACCACTGTACATATTTTTGCTTATGTTGCAAATTCTCTTGGAGAATAGGGCTGCCCTCTAGGGTCTTCTGGGCTGGGCACCCAACCGGCGTGATTCAGGGTGGGCCCCTTTCACCCCCTTTCACCCACGCAACAGCCTTTGATTCCCACTTCAACCCGGTTGATTTGATTCTCCCCCTTTTTGCCAATGTAGATCTTCATTCCTTCCTTGTCCCAGGGGGACCGCCATTTTGCAGTTTGCCTCAGGTGCCAAAATGTTTCAGGCTGGCCCTGCAAGGGGCTGTCCTATTGCTCCCTGTCACAACTGTTGAAACAGCAATTGGTTGTTGAAGGAACTGGGATGTATTGGCTCTGAAAGTGAGGGAGGGGGTAGTA